TTTGCCCTCTACTCATCATCAAAGGTCTTCCTTATAAATTCTTAACTTCATACTATATCTAAATTCAGCTCAGCCTTCACATCTGAGTTCAATTAAGTATTTTTGGAGATCCTACTGCATGCCTCAGGCCTGGTTTAAATTGTTTTTTGTCAAACAGTCTTCTACATGGTACAGCACTGGTCTGTGCATTGCTGTACAGAGGTAACTCGTGGTTGCTGTGATTCTAAACACTGTGACACTGATGTGCCATAATGGTTACTATGGTGGACAGTGTTTGGTGGAGCTTCCCGATTAAAACAAGCTTGGAAGCAGGAGTGGCATCCACTTGTGAAATGGCTTGCCTCTGGAAACTCTATGAACAGTGCTCAGGGCTTTCTTTCATAGGGTCAACTGCATGGCACTTAACAACAACAACAACAACAACAATAATAACAACAACTGCATGCCCATCCATGATCCAAGCTGAGAGATTCAGAAATGAAATGAAACAGGCAGGATTCCATCCTAACTGAGCTCCCAGAAAGGTGGTGGTTGTTGTTATGTGCCTTCAAGTCGCTTGCGACTCATAGCGAACCTATGTACAACAGCCCTAAACTCTGCTCTGTCCTGTGCCAGTCTCACTGTCTCCGACATACCCATCCCGATTACCCCAGTCACTGAATCAGTCCACCTCATAGAGGGCCTTGCCCTCCTGCACCTGCCCTCCACCCTACCAAGCATGATATCCTTCTCCAAGGATCAGTCACTCCTTACAACATGACCAAAATATGTTAGGCGGAGCCTCAGAATCCTTGCCTCCAAGGAGCAGCCCAGTTTAACCCTCTCCAGAATGAATCTGTTTGTTTTCTTAGCAATCCATGGTACCCTCAATACTCTTCTCCAACACCACAGCTCAAAGGTATCAATTATTCTTCTGTCCTCCCTTCATTGTCCCACTCTCTGATGCATAACAAGTGATTGCAAAGACCATGGCCTGTATCAGATGCACCTTAGTCTGATTAGTCTCTTAGACACCATTACTCTTCAGTACTTTGGAGAGAGGTTCCTAACAGCAGACTTTCCCATCGCAATGCGTCTTTTAATTTCCTGGTGGCTGGTGCCAAGAGTGTTGACTGTGAAGCCAAACAGACTAAATCTGTGAACAATTTCAATCTCTTTACCATCAATCCTGATGCTGTCAATTGGTCCAGTGGTAAGAATCTTTGTCTTCTTGACATTGAGCCTCAATCCATATTGAAGGCTGCAGTCCTTGATGCTCTGCAGCAGGCGCTTCAGGTCCTCCTCAGTTTCAGCAAGCAGGGTTGTGTCATCTGCATAACACAGATTGTTGATAGATCTTCCACCAATCCTGACAACACATTTCTCCTCATAGATCCCAGGAAGGTGGGGAGAGGCAAAAAGTTATTTTGCTACATTGTTATCAAAGCTCTAATAAAGGTGTGATAGAAGTCCATCCAGTGCTGCCTGTGGAGTGAGGCTGTGGGCGGAATATGGTATCTAGGGAGAGATAAGGATGAAGTTGTCATGCAAAGCTTTTGTGGACAGAGAAATCTAGCTAGAATGCAAACTATGTGGTTTCTGAAGTAGAAGATGCTGATGTAGAGGATGAAGGATATTAAATACCACACAAAGAAATTTGCTTTTGAGCCTGAAAGCATTGGAAGTTACTGAATAATTTGCTACCAGGGTGCGATATGGTCAGATTGAGGTGGTTTTGTTTATTTTATTTTATTTTTATTTTATTTTATTTGTGTGTGTGCGTACGGTCAAATTGGATCCGACTGGTACAGGAGGAGATTGCCCCTCCTTACCCAGTAGAGCATCTGGTGGACAGATTGAGGTTTTTTGTGGGGTTTTTTTGGTTTTTTTTTCAATATGGAACGCTTCACAAATTTGCGTGTCATCCTTGCGCAGGGGCCATGCTAATCTTCTCTGTATCGTTCCAATTTTAGTATATGTGCTGCCGAAGCGAGCACAGATTGAGGTTTTAAGAAAAACAAATGTAGCTGTAGTAAAGAGGATGAGGTATAAACTTGAGGACAAGCAAACTGATGAAGAAAGCCTCCTACAGGAAGCTTTCCAGGATATATCCCATATACAGTTCTCTTATGCTTTAGTCACTGCCTCCCCAGTCCCCTCTCTCATCCCCCTAAATTCTCTGTCGCTGTGATAGTGCAGTCCCAAAGGCAAAAGGTCTGTATCCAGTAGCTCTGTGAGGAAAAGATGAGCACTCTCCTCCTGTGCAGTTTACAGCCTCAGGAAAGTAAGAGGTGGTTCCAATGAGATTGCAATGAGTGAGTGACTGCTTCTCAGAGCCACTCAGTTAATTTCATTCTCACAACAACTCTGTTGGATATATATTCTTAAAATATTTTCTAGTTGAGAAACTGAGACTTAAGGCTAGATGGTGAATAGCCCAAGGACACCAAATAATTAAAAGCAGAATTAGAGTACTTCCAGGTTCAGGCATTAAAGGTCCTTTAGGGGCAGGGAGTGGTAAAAAACTGCATTGCAATCTCAAAGGTTTTCAGTACAAATCCACTGAGATTAACTTCCTCTGAAAACCCACTGCCAAGGACACCAAATAATTAAAAGCAGAATTAGAGTACTTCCAGGTTCAGGCATTAAAGGTCCTTTAGGGGCAGGGAGTGGTAAAAAACTGCATTGCAATCCCAAAGGTTTTCAGTACAAATCCACTGAGATTAACTTCCTCTGAAAGCCCACTGGAGGGTCAGCTATGGGTCTGTTTCAACTCCACAGCAAACAACAATAAAGACAGGGAGAAGAGACCTAGCCTCAAATCCACTGAGATTAACTTCCTCTGAAAGCCCACTGGAGGGTCAGCTATGGGTCTGTTTCAACTCCACAGCAAACAACAATAAAGACAGGGAGAAGAGACCTAGCCTCAGGAAATACAATTTAGAGGTCCAGACTCATAGGCAGGTACCCATAGATACCTGCCTAGAATCTAGACAGAAAACCTGTCTGGTTATTTGATGTTGGTTGGAGGGAAGGAATCTCTTGTTAAAATTTTGCTAGTTAATAATTTGTCCTGGATCCTTAAAGGTTGCTGTTGTTAGGTGCCATTGAGTGGAGTACTCATAGCAACTCCATGAATCCTGTCCTGTGCCATCCTCACAATATCGGACTTACTTGAGCCCACTGTGATCACTGTGTCAGTCCACCTTGTTGAGGGTCTTCCTCTTTTGTGCTGACCCTTTCCATGCATGATGTTCCTCTCCAAGGAATAACCTCTCCTAGCAACATGCCCAAAGTATGTCCGACAAAGCTTCACCATCCTTACCTCCAAGGAGCACTCTAGATGTTCCTTTGGCCATCCGTGGGATATTCAGTACTCTTCTCCCACACCACAGTTCAAAGGCATCAATTCTATTGTCATCCTTAAAGGATAGAATGTAATAAGAGTTCAAAATTAGTTTTTTCAATAAGACAACAACTACTTTCCAACCTGAAAGGTGTCAAACCCTTCAGTGTCAAAATAAAATCCAACATCTATGAATTCTGTGCGATTGTCCAGCGCAGATACTGCCACAGAGACGATCTAGGCTGTGTTGGAATGAGGCTCAGGAAATACATGTGTTCTGGAAATTTTTGTCCAAATCACAAAAATATTTTTAAAAGGAGAGAAGCAGGGAGCTCTGGTGGCCTAGTGCCAAGAAGCTGCTCTGCAATCCCAGAGGTGTGTGGTTTGAATCCACTAAATGCTCTGCTGGAGAAGGAGGGACAGTCTCCTCCAGTACAAATTAGATCCTACTTGATGGTACACACACACACACACACACACACACACACACACAAATAATAAAATTTAAAAAAAAAAAGAAGCTCCAGAGGTTAGCGGTTCAAATCCACCAAATGCTTTACTGGAGGAGGGACAAGCTCCTCCTATACCACTCATATCCAATTTTACGGTACACACGCAAAAATAATAGAAATTTTTTTAAAAAGAGAGAAGCATGAAAAAGAGCTCTCATAATAGCGCTGAGCTCTGTTTCCCATTTGCAAAATGGTGGTTATAATTATGGTGATTAAGATGCTAGACTTGAACCCTGGCTATGACATTTATTATTGCATGACTGCCTAATTTACTCTCTCTTGTTTTCTACTGGTAAAATGAGGATATGAGTACTATCTAACTTATAGGCTTTTTATAAAAAGTAGAAAAGTGCCTGAGGCATAGTTGTTGTTAGGTGCCTTGGGGTTGAGTGTGACTCATAGTGACTGTATGAACAACAGATCTGAACCCTGTCTTATCCTGTGCCATCTTCACACTTCTTGACACCTTAGAGCCCGTTGTGGCAGTCACTTTGTCAATCCACCTGGTTGAGGGTTTTCCTCTTCTTCGCTGACCCTCCACCCTTCCCTCTCCAAGGAATAGCCCCACCTACCAACAGGTGAAGCCTCATCATCCTTACCTCCAAAGAGCACTCTGGCTGCACTCTCTCCAAGACATATTAGGCATAGTCGGTAATTAGAATGTGTTAGTTATTGTGAGGATTTACATATGGCTAACTCAGAGCCTTAACCCCCTAGCAGGTGCTGACAGCCCCATCCTCCTTCCCTGTTGAAGTAGGATAGTCTTTGCAAAGGGAGCCAGAGTCCTCTCAAGTTCTTCTATGAGCCTAGAAGGATCAAGTTAAGCAGGGAATCCTGGGAGCTGATTTCTGGGGATCGAACCTCCCAAGATGAGGAGAGACTTAGGGTAGATGTTAGGGTGCCCTCTCCTGATCAGGGGCAGGAACAGCTCTGAACCTGTGAATGGGCCTCACAAGATCTTACTATTTATCTGTACCGAAAGACACCCAGACCGATTCATAAACAAAGTTTGGAGAGGGCCTCGGAGCTTGGGACGAAACTAGCTTTTTGTTTCAGAAGGTCGGAGCTGAGTTACTCAGAATGGAGGAGGACAGAAGAGACTGGGGCCAGGGAATGAGAAAAATTGAAGCCTGCTGAATTCATGTTATGTTCTTTCAACAGGTGATGGGACGCAGTTGAGAGGTAAGATGACAAGGTGGCTAGTCCAGCTTGTCCAACCTAGATGTTGAGGGCTCTCCCGGCTGCCCCGAAGCAATAGTGGAGTAGACCAGGCTTAGGGAAATGGCATGAAGGGATCAATTGAGGGCTTGGGGCCTGGGTCTCTGTCCGCGGGGAGGGGCCAGCTGAGAATCTGGACGCCGCTTCCTCCCTAAGTTCCGCCCCTAGCGCGCCGGCCCCGCCCCCGTCGTTCGCGCTCGGGGACCCCACAGCTCGACCCCGGCGGGTCCGGGGCTCCCCACACGACGTGCCCCGGCTCTGGCCTTTCACTGGCCCGGCCACCTGGCCCCGGCCTCCTGGGTGAGTACGTGGCTGCGTGCGCCTTGTCGGCGGGCAGCCGCTCCTAGGGGAGCTCGGCCACGCGGTTTGGCCTCTGCAGAGCGGGCCCCAAGCGCTGAGGTTCTAGACCTGCCCCCCTCATGCAGCCCCAGAGCATCCCTGGAACTGCCTGCGCCCCGCCTCCCCTCCACCCGGGGCTCGGAGTGTGGGGAGTGAGCTTTCCCGGCTATGCGTCTTTACTCCTCGGGGCCTCCTGGTCAGGATTCCTCGTAGGTATGTGTAAAATGGAGGTGTGGGGGCTCTTGGAACTTCACAGGCTGCCTTCTTAATCCAGTTGTTGTCTTCTTAGCCTGTGACCTTGAGCAAGTGCTTTTAACCTCTCTGAGCCTCAGTTTCTTAATCTGTTAAATAGAAATTTACAGGTGGTAGTGCCTACCTCATGGAGTTATAACAAAAACAAAAAAAAAATAGAAGTGTATATCAAGTTCTCAGGTAACCAGTTGCTGTCGATGAAGTCCAACCCTGGGTGACATGGCAAATCTGTGTGTCAGAATAGTACTCCACAGGAAGATCACCAGGGTCTTCTAAAGTGCCTCAGAATGCATTAGGAGCACCTTCACCATCTGCACTGCCCTAGCACTCTTAGGGGCAGTAAGCATCCATTAAGAATGGATTTGGACTAGAAACTACCAAGACCTCTAGGAACCATTGTAGCTGAAGGAGGACACCAAACTGCCAAAGAAAACTATTTCAGCTAAATAACCCCAAAGAAGAAATTGGAGCTGTTCAGGGATTGAACAACTGTGCTGCTGTTCACAACTTCTTGAGATTTAGAAGACCAGAGTGACCAAATTGGAAGTAGTCTAAATTACACATTTCCCATGTTATGCAACTGTGGAAACAGGCTTAGAATGGTTAGGTGACTTGTCAAGGCCACATAGCTAATTTGGAGACCACTGGTCTCAGGTAGGGAGGGCTGTTGGGACACGGTTTAAGCTGAGTGATGGAAGCTTCCCTTGATCCACGTGGGAATGATCCAGGGGATGTGTTCTACCTGAGTTCACCAGTGCCTCTTCTAAGTCTTCCTGGGAGACCCTGGGCTCCTCAAAAAAAGAGAAGAGCTTGAGCCATTGGGTCAGGCTTCCTGATTCCATCTGGCAGAGAGGTAAGTGGGAAAAATGGATGAAAATGTGGAGGCCTCTCCAAACTTGTTCCAGAATGCCCAGAGGCAGGCCTGACATAAGGTTAGAACTCTTCCTGAGGGTGGGGCTAAACTAGGGGAGAGTCAAACTAGGGTGTGACCAGGAAGACTTCCCAGCTTGATTTGGCAAGGTCCTTGAGCACAGAAAGGCGGATTGTATATATGGAGTCAGACCTTGTATATGATAGCTTTCCTGTCAACTCAGCATATAGCTTTGAAGAAAGATGGCCTTTCCATTCTGTGTTTTGATTTCTTATTTTTATAATGAGCACAAGGTTGACTGACTTATCTGTATGTTGTTAGATGACATCCAGTCAACCACAACTCATAACAGCCCTGTAAACAACAGAGTAGAACCAATTTGGTTTTCACTTTTCTTCTTCCTATAGATATTCTTTGTTCTTTTCTTACTCTAGTTTTAACCTGATCTGTTAGGGGTCTGACAGAGAGAGGGTGGAGTCAGAGAAGATCAGAGTTATAGTGAATGACATTTCATGGACTCTCATCCCCAGTGCTCTTATATTTATTTTGTGTCTCCAGTCATGCTGCTGCCCCCTGTTGGCCTCAGTTGCCTTTTTTGTTCACTAAGAGCGAATGGGCTAGGATTATACATTTTAATTTTAGCTACTTACTCTAATTCCTGTCCTTAAATGCTCTTATCTGATGGGTAAATGACAGAACTCAGGGGCCCTCAGTTGGTCTCAGGAGTATGGTGGACAGGGTCTGGGCACCAAGAAGTCTCTAGAAGCTGACCAAGCAGTCAGTCCTCTCCAGCAAACAGTAGCTGAGGCTCGTGCCTGGCCTGATTCTGCAAAGCTTTTCACCTCAGAGCACATGAGGCATCAGGCATGCTGGGAGTTGAGGTTCTGTCATCTTCCATGGAGCCCCTACTGCTGTGGACTGTGATGTAGGTAGATAGAGCACATGGAACCCAGGAAGGGGCAGCAGGTGCAAGAGAGCTGTGAGACGAGTGAAGCACTGAAAGCTGCAGAGTCCCTGAAACCTGGGAGCTGGGCCCGAGACTCAAAGGCCTGGGGGAGGAGATGGATCATTCTGTTCCCGGGTAGAATTTTTCGGGTTGGTTTCTGAAATAAGAGACTAGTCAAACCATCTCCTAGAACCCTAGACTGGCAAGCCAGGCGTGGGAGTTAGGGGAAGGCCTCTCTTCATGCTTCTTCTTAACATAAATATTTTGGTTCCTTTTCTTTCCTCAGAAGTCAATGTTCTAAAGTTCTTTTAGGATTCCAAGTCAGTCTTCCTCATTTAAGTCAGAAGCTGTCTAAGACTAGAAAGCTTCTTCCTCATACTGTCCATCCCACAGCAGAGAAATCTTTAGGACTGAGCACTAGAGCTGGCTTTACCACTGAGCCCCCAATCCTGAGGCACTGACAGTACGCCACTCCCTCCCCAGGTCTGACAAGATGTACCAGGTCCCGCTGCCGCTGGACCGGGATGGGACCCTGGTTCGGCTCCGCTTCACTCTGGTGGCCCTGGTCACGGTCTGCTGTCCACTTGTTGCCTTCCTCTTCTGCATCCTCTGGTCCCTGCTCTTCCACTTCAAGGAGACAACGGCCACACACTGTGGGGTAGGGCTTGGGGGACACTGGTATTCATTTAGGCTCATCTGGGTGTTTTGTTTTTTTCTGTCATCATAGGATTAGTCATTTCTCCCCTGGGGTCCAGCAAACATTCTAGGCTGTTAGGGGAGTGATCCCAAGCTAGAGACTCAAGAAATGTCTTCCTTTCACCCTCTCTCTACCTGGGGGCCACAGAGATCTGGGATTGGGCAGCTCTAGGACTCAGAAATCAGTCCATGACTCATGGTGGGGCAGATTCAGGAGCCCCCCTTCCGTGGTTTTCTGGGGGTTGGGGTCTGAAGTGGAGAAAAAAATCAAGACTATAGGGAATATTGGGCTCTTATTGTAGCACTGTGGGCTTATGTCTGTCTCTGTGGGAATGTGATTCTCTGCATACATAAAACTGGAAAGGATATTACTGTGTTTCATGACATTCCATAGGTTATGTGTGTGAAAGAAATTTATATGTTTGTCTGGGTGGGAACCTGAGAAAGTGTGTGTATGTATACAAAAGTGTGTGTGAATACAAAAAGTATTCTTTAGCTACCTTGGGTCAAACTTAGTCATTCTATCCTCTGGATGTGCACAGTGCCTTATTATCTTTCACAAAGTTCCATCATACTCTGTGTGTCTGGCTTCCCCACTAAAGAGTTTCTTGAGGGTATAAACTGAATTTAAGTAAAAAAATAATTGCTGAATAATTGGATAGGATCCCAGCCCAGTACCCTGAGAAAGGAAAGGTGTGTGCAAGGAAAATTATATTTGTATGACGAGTGGAGTTATATAGAACTCCTATACACCTGTGGCTGACCCTAGGGATTTATGGGATCATTAATAACCTTTGCACACCTGGCATACTTATGGAGCTAAAAGCATTAGTGGTTGTGGGAGAAGTACCTGGCCCATCTGGAGCAGGGCCAGATGTAACAGCATTAGAGTACTTTTGTCCACATTCTTAAGGACTACCTTGTGGGTCCATTTGGAAATTTTCATATACAAGCTATGGTCTTTGAAATCAGTTGTTATGCATCAGAGAGTTGGAAAATGATTAGGAAAGATAGAAGAAGAATTGATGCCTTTGAGCTGTGGTGTTGGAGAAGAGTTTTGAATGTACCATGGACTGCCAAAAAAAACAAACAGATTCATCCTGGAGAGGGTTAAACCGGGCTGCTCTTTGGAGGCAAGGATTCTAGGGCTTCGTCTGACATACTTTGGACATGTTGTAAGGAGGGACAGGTCCTTGGAGAGGGACATCATGCTTGAGAAGGTGGAGGGGCAGAACAGGAGGGGAAGACCCTCTAGGAGGTGGGTTGATTCAGTGACTGGGATAATTGGGATGGGTGTGTCGGGGGCAGTGCAATTGGGTAGAGCAGAGTTTAGGGCTGTTGTACATAGGGTCGCTATGAGTTGCAAGCAACTTGAAGGCACATAATAACAACTGACTCTCTTACCCAAAATATTTCAACAATGACTAACCCTAAAAATAATAATAAAAAAAATAGCCTAGTCTGTCTCACCTATAATTAGATGATTTGATGGGGAGCTTACTTTTCTGTCCCATGTCGCTTAGTAACTAACAGTGAGCAAATACTTTGTTACAGTGAGCATGTATTTGCTTTCTGTGAATCTGCTCTGCCGTTGGCTCTGCTTGGAGGCTAAAAGGCTACTCTCTCCTCCTGACATTAGGCCAGACTTGCAGAGATAGGACGACAGTGGTTATCTAAGTCTATTCTTCTTAGTAACATATTTCCAGTTCATTCATTCTGCCCTCCCAGGACATGATTTCTAGGCTCCTTCCTCCTCACTATGACCTTGGAATTGGCCCTTTTGGTCACTCTCTTCTTTCCATCCTTTGCCTTGATCTTGTGTAGGACTTCAGGTGGCCTGGGCCTTACGGTAAGCAAGACTGCGCCCTTCCAGCTACTGGCTGTTAACCAACAAAAACAGTTGCCAGCAAATCAAATCTGTTGCATCATAACCCAGAGCAGACTACTCTCCATAGGGTTCTCTTTGGCTTAGATATTTTGGAACTAGATCACCAGGCCTTTCTTTTGAGGTGCTTTTGTGTGATTCAAACCTCCAACTTTTAGGTTAGCAGCTAAGTGAGTCTGTTATCTATTTGCGCCAGTTGTTGTTCTTGGTAGTTGTCATCAAATTGGTTTCAGCTCCTATAGCAACCCCATATAAAACAGAATATAACACTACTCAGTCCTATACCATCCTTGCAATTATTGTCATGTTTTGGACCGTTTGTGTTTATCTGTGTTTATCTTTGTTGGTGAGAATCTTGCTTTTTTTGTTTGTTTGTTTGTTTGTTTTTGTTTTTTTGCTGACCTGCTACTTTACCAAGCATGATGTGCTTCTATAGGACAGGCTGCTCCTGATGACATGTTCATCCCACTTCTAAGCATTCTACCTGTGCTTCTTTCAAGGAAGTTTTGTTCATTCTTTTCACAGTCCATAGTGTATATTCTATATTCTTCTCCAATACTGTAACTCAAATACATCAGTTCTTCTTTGTTCTTCTTTATTCACTACAAATTTTCTGCATGCATACGAAGCAGTTGAAAATACCATGACTTGATCAGGCACACTTTAGTCCTCAAAACTGACATCTTTGATTTTTTTAACACTTAGAAGTGATCTTTTGCAGTACATTTGCTTGAAAGTATACTGATTTTTTTTTCAACTATTGTATATGTAGGCATTAATTGTGATTCAGGTAAAATGAAATCCTTGACAGCTTCAGTCTTTTCTCTGTCATAATGTTGCTTACTGGTCCAGGTCTGAGGATTTTTGCTTTCTTAGTGTTGAGGTGTAATATACACTGAAGGCTGTGTGGTCTTTGATTTTAATCAATAAGAGCTACATGTCTTCTTCCCTTACATCAAGCAAAATTGTATAATCTGCAAATTGCAGATTGTTAATGAGCCTTCCAATAATCTTCATGCTATGTTCTTATTTACGGAGTCCAGGTGTTGGATCGTTTTTTCAGCATAGAGATTGAATAAGTCAGTGTCTTAGTTATTTAATGCTGCTATAAGAAACCTCTGGTGGCATAGCAGTAAGGAGTTGCATTGCCAACCCCAAGGCATGTAGTTCAAATTCACAAGCTGCTCCGAGGAAGTAAGATGAGCGGTCTACTCTTGTGCAACTTAAAGTCTCTGGACTTAAAACCCACTGGAAGGTCAGTTATGAGTTGGTTCTAACTCTAGAACACATTAACAGTAGCATCAGCAACATAACAGAGATACCACAAGTAGATGACTTTAATAAATAGACATTCATTCTCTTACAGTTTAGGAAACTCTTAAGTCCAGGATAGCACTAGGGTAAAGGTCTGCTCTCTTTCTGTCTGGTTGTGGAGGGAAGTCCTGTAAACCAAGTGTTCCTTGGAGACCTTGTGTCCTGGCCTTCCCTAGGGTTGAGGAACTGCCTCACATGGGTTCTAGGCCCAAAAAGAAACATTCTACTCCTGTTAATTCTTTCCTGATGGGAATGAGATGACCCTCTTGGCTCTCTTTTCTCTTTTATCTCTGGAGAGTGAAAAAGCTATTAAAGGTCACACCCTACAAAAAGTCCCTGTAGATTAGGGCAGATGAAATTAGGAGTGTTTTGTACCTGTTTGTTTTTATACATGTTTCCTTGTTGTTGTTGTTGATTGCCTTAGGGACCCTGACTCTATGAACAAAAGGCCTGAAGCCTTTCTATAACTGTCATCATTTATCAAAGTTCATAGAGTTTCCAGAGGCATATTGTTCAGGAAGTATAGGAGATCTTTATATAGTTCCACTTTATGTTGTTGTATACTACTGAGTCAGAACTGACCCATAGCTGACTCGCCAGTGGGTTTTCAGAGGTAGTTAACTGAATAAGAGGAGATTGCCCATTCTTCTCTCCTGAGCATCTGGTGGATTCAAGAGTGTCTTTGTGCAGTTTCTTACCATGAGGCCACCAAGAGATCCCTGCTATATTATTACATACATGTATTTTGGGGGACACAACTCAATCATGATATATGGTGAAGGGATATTTCCCTGACAAACACCTTTTCTGATCTTAAATCACATTCTAAGCCCTTGTTTTGTTAAAACAACTGCTTTCTGTACAGATTCCACATGAGTACCACTAAATGTTATGGAATTCCTACTCTGTAATGTTATCTCTATTTTTCTAGTATTCTCTGCTTTCAGCAACATCCAGCTGACATTAGCAATGATACATTTTGTTCCAAATCTTCTGAATCTAGATCGAATTTCTAAGTTCCCTGTTACTGTGTTGGTGCAGCAATTTTTTAATTGTCATCAGCAAAATTTTACTTGAGTTTGATATTAACGGGAGATCCAGTTAACTGCAGTGTGTAATGTATTGAACTACTAACTGAAAGGTCAGTGGTTCAAATCTACCAGCCACCCTGTGGGAGAAACATGAGCAATCTCCTTAGATAAAAGTTTACATCCTCAGAAACCAGACAGAGGGTTGCTGTGAGCTGGAATTGAGTTGGTGGCAATAGGCTTTAGTTTTGGGATACTGCTCATACAGTTTCAAGATATCCAAATTCTGTTGGATTACCTTTCTTTGGAATGAGTACAAATACAGATCTTGTAGTCATCTGACCGGTCAGTTGTCTTCCAAAGCTTTTAGCATAGATGAATAAGCACAGTGGTGCTTCCATTTGTTGAAATGTCTCAATTGATATTCTGTATATCCCTGTGGGCTTGTTTTTTATTAGTGCCTTCAGTATATCTTAGACTTCTTCCTTTACTTCCCCCCTCCCCGGACTTCTTCCTTTTCTGACATTGATTCTTTTATTTTTTTAAATCAGTTCTTCCCCTCTCCCCGTCCCCCGCCTTGTTGTGTACCATTGAATAAGATCCAACTGGCACAGGAGAAGATTGCCCCTCCTTCTCCAGCTTAGCATCTGGTGGATTTGAACTGCACACCTTTGGGATTGCAGTGCAGCTTTTTGCCACTAGGCTACCAGAGCTACCTTACCATTGCTTCTTGAT